TTGTCTGCATGAAGTAAATCTGACATTGTAATCATGTGATGTCACATGTTGAAGTCATCAGGTAACCTTGTTCCTTGTTTGTTTTTTTTGCCCGACGATGCTGGGAAAGTTTCTGTGATCCTGGTCCGCCTTGCTGGCATCATGAATCATATGTTTCTTTTTTTCATTGTGCTTGCTGTATTTTAACTTTTCTGTTACCACGCCTATTCAGATCGAGGACCAGTGATCGACGCTTTGGATCATCAATTTTAGCATGTTAAATTTGTTTCTCGTGCACTCAGCACATTCTAGTAGTTATTCCAGCCACTAAACTTCCAGGAATAATTTGAATTTGCCCGTTTGAGCTACATAGTGATTTTCGTCAGACCTTTGAGCGAACCAATGTGTGTGTGTTGGAAGAATGCACTAGACTGGTCAACTTGCAAAAAGTGTGTGCCCCTCGTGGTTATGCTATAGTAACATCAAAGTTATGTAATGAAAATAACTTTTGCGAGCCAAATATCGAATTAGTGTCATCTTTGCAATCTGACAGTGTTGAGCAGTAATAATTGCCAGAAACTTATTCCAGCTGTTCAATAGAAATTCATTGCTGGGAGTGAGGAAAAATTTATTATACGAAAAGTATTCCCGAAGGTCCGCCGCACGTTTTAAGTGTCGAGGTGGCCTTCTCAGCGAGTTTCAAGCAGCTTTGGTTTCGCCTGTATCGTAACATCAGACGCAGGGCCTCATCTAGTGTAACTAGTCACTCCTATGGCGTCGTCGTCACACGGGCATAGGTGCGCACCAGCGCTGCAAAACACACGTGCCGCTCGAAACTTTCTTGAAACTCCACCTGAATTGAGTGAGGACGAGCTTAGAGTTCGAGGATGACAGCACCTCAGTTTCAAGTTTTATGGTGACGATGTTTTACATCAGTCTGGGACATCCGCAGCCGTTCACGAGTTTGTTTTGTTTTCGGCCTCCAGCTGTCCTTTCCACCGCAAGTGCATAGCTGTTGACCTTTGTGCACAATCTTATACCTACTCTGCTTACGTGTGAGGTCCATACTTTGCTGGAGGCGGTGTGCTGGTGCCAGCGGCAGAGCTTCTCCTAACGACAAGAAAGCTACCAAAGAACATCTTCGTCTGACTGTGGAGCAGCGCGAAACGTTGCAGAACTGCGCACGATATGTCATTTTTTTAATACGATGTGCACAATGCTAAAGAATTGTGTGGGGTCGACGTTATCAAAACAATATTTCGCAAATAGAAAATGTTCAGCGTAAAGAAATGAGATTTATATTTGGAAAATGCAAACGTTTAGATTTCCCTACACCAGTTGATGAAGCTAAATAACATACCAACGCTGGAAGTCCGGAAAAAAGTTAACCGCCTTTCATTCCTTCACAACTTTATAGCAGGTAAAATCAATTTATATCTCCTAGCATCTGTTAAGCTTCTTTGTACAAGAATAACATGGCACAATCACAAGCATTCGTTAGCACCATTCTTTGCTCGCACAAAAGCATTTCAATACAGTTTCTTCTCTCGTACAGTTGCGGATAGGAATTCATTGCTAATAGTATATGCAGCTCTGATGACTTTGTTAGCAATATTCAGTCACATGTCTTCAAGGTCTAGAACTTTTTGTTATCATTTCTGCTTGCTCCTACCACATGTTTTGATGGCCCTGATGGCCCTATTTTTCAATAATTGTTGTACTAGTTTCATCATTTATTTTGTTTCTTGTGTTTGCTCATTGCATTGTTTTTATATTTGATTTTGCATTGTACATGAAGCCCATCCTGCTTGAGCGAAAATGTTTGCTTGCAGTATTTCAAATAAATAAATAAATAAAAAGAAATATTATGATTGCATGCATGTATACGAACAGCAACATACACAGAGTGAGGTGGCTCATGGAAAAAGGCGACGCTACATGAAATAGCGAAGTTGATTAAGAATCTGATTTATAGAGGGATTTTTGACATCACAGGCATCTATTTATATTAGAACACCTGGATGCCCTTATCCCAAGAAAACAAAAATTTACTAAAAAACGTGTACGATTTCACTTGTGTCTCACGAAAAACCAGGCAATCTTTCACCGCATCGCATGAGCAGTGAAGCAGCACCTCGGTTCTGATTTTCTTTGTCTATGTGAATGGAAACACTTTGTATAACATTTATTATCTTATGTTGTTCCAGGGTGATTTAACTCCAAAATGTATATATTGAGTTTTCTTTGTTTTGAATATTTTTGATATATAGTGTGTTTCACTGTTTACCAGCTGGCAGCCAAAAATTATGCACTTTTCATTTATTCATTTCAAACTATTTTTGTTGCTCTACAACATATATTTTTTGAAAAGAGAATTTAACTGTGTGAAATTTGGTATGCTGCAATGCGTGCTGGAGTACTTTTCAAACGGGCAAAAATAATCTTTTGAGACACATGAAAAATAGCTATTTTTGCACGGTAATGAAGGAGGTAAATTACTTCTTGCTAGTGTGTAAATTATGAGAAAGTATGTGCAAGTACGAAAGCTTCATACTAGTTCAAAGGAAATGATAAGTTCTCTGTACGTCTTCCTCCGATAGTTTTTTTTTCCTGCAGCATTTGTCTTGTTTCAATGTGAAAAAGTTTGAAGTTTACAATAATTTTAAATGGGACTTTTTCTGGCACACTAAAGGTTGACCCTTTCAAAGCAGACAGCTCAGTTTCAATTCACGATGATTGCATGGTGTACGATGCGTTGTGATTGTGACCATTTTTTTGTATTGTTTGTGTACTACTAACAATGCAAGTTAGCCACCATTGCCTGTTGTCATAGGATTACATCTTCTTACTTAATGTGTGTGTTTGCAGTGAATTCTTCATAGTACAACCATAGGAACAAGGTGCTTGCAGTGCTACCCTAGGGGACAAATATGGAGATGCATGTGGTTTATAAGACCCGTTGTCTTGGTGCTGTTCACAGGGTGCTTTCATGACTCATTGACAGCTCTGCTAACACTACTAAAAATACTGGCATTTTCGCAACACTGGTTTAGAGTTCTTGTCGGTTTTGCAGAGAAGTTGCGCTAGTGCAGGTCTTGGCATAACGTATTTGAGGAGCAAAATGAAATATTTTGCATGAGTTATGCTGTGTGCTTTACAGTTAACTCAGCTACATGTATTGGTGTGGTAACAAGATTAACTGTAGTGTCTTGTCATCAAGTGTGCCAACCTGTCTTATCCTGTGCTAAGTCTGCACAAATATAAAGGCATAGTTTGCCCTCAAAATGGTACAAGTATGTCCACTTTTTTTTAGACACTATAAAAGGTATTTTCTGTCTTTTGGGTGCACATCTCAAATGTTAATGATTTCATTACAAGTTATTCTCATTGACACCATAATGCATTGGAGCATTTTGAACAATAGCCAAGCTGTGCATAGAAAGCTGTTTTGCAATACCTCTGTATATGTACTGTTTCAGTTTTGCAGCTTGAATTAGTGGTTTTTATTCAGCGAGTACAGTAAGGTGTATTTCTTGATTCATAATGCATCGATATTTGTGTATTTATTTTCACTTTTCCACGACTTTTATTATGCTGATTTGTATGCGTTTTAACACACCGGTGGTCTATTTAGAAATAGAAAGAAATGTTTCAGATGTTCTCTTGCTACAGCACTTGTACGTTTATGGCTAAAAAAATATTACTGGTGTGGCACCGTAGCACTGAACACCATTTTACTTTATCAACTCTGTAACATTTAGAGTTGAGGAGCTAGGTGCAGCCTTTAACTCATGTTTAAATTTCCAGTATCTTCAAGATCTTTTTTTTTGTGTGTGTGTGTGCAAGTGCATGTATGTGTGTGCCCAGGAGGAAAATTAACTATTCATAAAAGGGAGGCACTTGAAATAATTTTCGTTGTCACAAAATTTGGGAATTCATGTCTTGCCTTGCTGGACCACGCACCTTAGCATCCCTGTTACCCCTTGAATGACACCTTTGCCCCGCCGCGGTGGTCTAATGGCTAAGGCACTTGGCTACACACCCGCAGGTTATAGGATCGAATCCCGGCTGTAGTGGCTGCATTTTCAATGGAGGCGAAATGCTGTCTGTCTGTGTGCTCAGATTTAGGTGCTTGTTGAAAGAACCCCAGTTGGTTGAAATTTCCAGAGCCCTCCATTACAACGTCTCTCATAATCAAATGATGGCTGTGCAGTGTTAAACCCCACATATTACTGTTACTAAATGACACTTTTGTTGTTTAGCACTATTCCAACAGCTCAGTAGACAAAACTATGTGGACGGGAGATGCAGATGCAAAGTGAAGTGTCAATGAAAATATTAGTCGAAAATTAAAAGACGCGATGTAAAAAACTAAAAAAAAGTAGGCTTCTTCTTATAGTTGGGTAAAACTGCAAACAAAAGTAACAAACCAGAAAAAGATCTTCTAGCCTTGAGTACTGTCTGCAGCTGCATGCCTGCATTCGCATGGGGCTTTATATTGAGCAAAATGGGTTCATAAAGCGACTCATTCAAATTATCAAGTCAGCTTAGACAATAGTAGTTGGAGAACTGCTGAGTGAATGTAATGCAACTATCACATTGCAACACGTTCAAAACGTCGGATACTGCACTTGTTCTCTGTTCATGAGGGGATGTAAGTGATCATGCATTTTTTGCATTTGTGCTACTAGTGCTTGTGCTTATTTCATTTTTGTTGGCTAGCTGTTGGTTTTATGCCTTCAGTGCTACAAACGTACACCTATCTACACGTTTCATAGAAGAGGTTCCTTAAACTAAACAGGGAGAGTGATTGATCAGTGCGTTGGCTATGTTAATGCTAGAGAGCGAATCTGATAGAGGGCTTAGAAGAGCACACAGAGCACAAGACCAGCACTGTCTGTGCTCATCTATGTCCCGTATCAAATTAGCGTGCTGTAACAAATTCTGTTAAGGCTACGTATATACACTGATGAGCACGTATCGCATGGTGTTCACAAATATGCTCTGAAATCACTTATGCAATGAGCATTTTCCACAACACTGCCTTGCAAGTGGCGACGGGATTCGCCATGGTGCAGGCAATGCCGACCAACACCGGCAGGCCAGTCGCATCTCAGTTGGCACCACATTCTCTCAGCCTGACAGAGTCTCTGAAGCAAGAAACGGTGGAGTTGTTCTCCTGCGACTTGTGTTCCTTCGCCTCGATCTGCCGCGACAGCTTCAAAAATTATGTCTGCATTCACAACGGGAAGGAAGGCCTGTTCTGCCTAGTATGCCAGCAGGCATTCCCGGATGCAGACAGCCTGAAATAACGCTGCTCGACGCACCCCGAAGGGAGGAAGTTCAAGTCAAACCTGTGTCCAAACGCAGCAGTCTTGTCCAACAACTTGGCAGGTCACAAGCTCACCCACACGGGCGAAAAGAATTTCGGCTGCAGCCTGTGCACATAAGTGTGTACACGGACAGACTCCCTGGAAAGGCACATAAACAGGGTGCACCTCTGTAAACCAAAGAGGAAATAATCGGGTGATACTTGTAGACTCGGCAACACCAATGCTTGTCGCTACAAACTTTAGTAGTAGGGTGCTAAGGGGCTGCTTTCTGAAGGCAGCGACAGCGTCTAACTGCACCAGTGCTGTTATTACTGCCGTGTTTGGTGCGACAAGTGGCATTCCAAATCACGTAGTTTGGCTCAAGATGCTGGTGAAGAAATAAATTCTGGCAAGTATGCAGACGTTGCTGTGATGCGATACTGACGTTCTAACACTGTTCATTATATTTTGTTCGCAACCGCTCTGTGCATTTACAACCATCTTTCACCAAGGCAAAAGCCTCATGAAATGCTAGAATGCGACGGTGTCAACACGAGGGATGCGGAAAATAATTGTGTGATTATGGCAGCATACGACATCATGACATGACAGATCACCAAATTTTTTTACCGTGACGTCACTATGACATCGTGACGTGACTTCGCATGATATTGTAATCGCATGTCACTTGGTTAAAGGTGGGCTAATCACTGAGGCAATGCAAAAAATGTTAGATGTAGAAATGTTAGATGTTAGATGCAATGTTAGATGCAGAAAGCTTTCAGAGGGTGGGGGAGAGGATGGGTGCATCAAGTTGGAAGAAAATGAATGATGGGATGTCTTTTGCCCGAAGTTGTCTTAGGTGAATGTGTGGAGGATGCTTTGAGTTTTGACATTATACTAGCAAACAATATGCATTTCTTCGTTTCTGTAGTTTTCTTAAGGATACAGGGTAAGCTCCTGTGAGCCCATTCTACAAGTTATGCAATGTGGTTTCGCTGGTAATGCATCTTTGAGCATATTTTTTGTAGCTGAATTGGAAAAATTTTGCTTCCCTAGTGCTTCAGAAAATACGTTTTATGCACTTTCCTTCATAAAAATACAAGTTCTGAAGTATGTCTCCTGCCGCCAGTGCTCTTTGCGGACACATTTCATCTGGAGGGCTGTTGATGTTTCACACCTCCAAAGTGCTAACTTCTTTTGTTTAGGGCTGAATTTTGCTTGCCTGTATTCTTTAGTCCCTGTATCTTGCTAAATAGTTTGTGTGCGCCTGATGACTTGGCGTTCTTCAATGCTGTAGTAATGATGTAGGGCATACCATTGCAATATACACTGTGGCAAGTTACAGGTTTGTGCAAAGCAATAAAATATACTGTACATGCCAAATCGATTGCTTTATTACCCTGCATACAATTTATGGAAATATTAATGATGATGATGACACATTTGAAAAGTATTTTATGCCTTTTTAATATGATGTACGATGAAAAATTATGGCAACTCCACACTGTAGTGGTGTGAAGCCTTTTTAATTTCTCTACTTTTTCTCTTTCTTGCATATTTCTTTGTATCTGTTTTTTTCTTTCTCACTCTTTATATACCTTTCTCTTTCTCACGTTATTCATCTTTCGTCCTCTTTCTTACATTTTTTTCTCCTGTTGTTTTCTCTGTTTCCTCTCTTTCTGTCTTGCTTGCATCCTTTCTATATATCAATTTTGTGTTTGTTTCTTCCTATCCCTTTCTCTCGTTCTACGTCCTTCTCAAAGTTTCTGTCTCTTAATGTCTTTACTCTCTGAAGTCTTCCTGCTTTCCTCTTTATCTTTTCATCTCTCTTTGATGTGTTTCACATGCTCTATTTCTTCGAGCAGAGTTTTCATTTAACGCTCGCACCTGCTCTACGCGGTAGTGGGACTTGCCCAATTCCTGTGGCGTATACCCACCTGAGAAGTTTTGCACAATGGAGCACAAGCTACTGATGACTTAATGAGCTTCTGTATAGAGAATGAAAAGAGCTTGCACCGATTCCTGATAGCTTAAAATAATGCTTTACTGGAAAGACAATGAAGAGAATGCCTGGTGGTGCCTGATGATGATAGTTTTTGACACTAGAGCACAAGAGTTACTGGCAGCTTTTAAACAGTTGCACATTAAAAAGTCAGTACAGTGGCATGTATGGTGTCATTTTGGGTGTTGTGTGCACTACACTGCTTGTTTTGCAAGAATTGAAGGTCAAGTAAAAACTGACTGCACTCTGGATGTGTTGTGTCGGTGCATTCCAAGAGTGGCTCATTCAGACGGGCCGTAAAAAGTGCATGTTGAGTTCATTCAGCTTTGGCATAACTTGCGGTTGTTTCAGGTAATGTTATGTTGAAAATTTATTAACAAAGGAATTTGAGAAACAGCCAGACGTTCGGGACTGGCAGCACCGAGAGCTATGGAAATTGATGTTCAGCTCTGCATTTTGCGAGTGCACAGACATCAATATTCTTGCTTCACATAAATCTTGTTTCTGTTCATTTCAGAACATAGTTGCAAGCTATGCGATGAAAGAGGCAGAACATCTGGCAGCACTTGGAAGAAGTCGGTGCTGTTTCATCTCTGATGTGTGTTCTTCTAGTATGCTAGCTATGTTGTTTTAAAATTCGTTCTTGCCAAGTTATCTTGTGTATGGTTTATAAAAAAATTTGTAAAAGCACCAAAGGTCAGTAGAAGTTAATGAAGAAAGACTAAAAATTCTTGCCGCATTTTCTGCTGATGTATGTTTGTTGTTTACATCAGTTTTCTTGCTGTAGTTTTGTCACATTTGAATGTAAGAACTTTGAAATCTATCAGTGACCCAATTCTTTGGAACGCTTCTCAATTGCTTTTGTGGCTGATACTTTATAAATACACAGCTCACTTTCCATTCAAAGTGACAGCGTGGTTTCTAAATTTTGCAGGGGTGACCATTTACTTGCTTTATTGGTGTTTATCTCAGCACCACCAATGGCCATTGAATTGCATGCATGTGTTTGCAGTGAGAACTCTCTTTAGTGCAACCATATAATAGTGAGGTCACAGAAACAAGAGAATTTATTGTTAATCATAGATCAACGTAGAGATGCACAGGTGGTGGTTTTCAAAATACATGACCTCGGTGATCTTGAGAGGGTGACTTCATCACTCTACGACAGCTCTGCTATCACTGATTAAAAAGATTGGCATTTTGCCGAGCAGGTTCCACGTTGTTGATTTCGCAGGGATCATATATGTGCTAGTCCTTGCGGGGCATTATGAACTTGAGGTGCAAAATACAATATTTTTATTGAAGTGTACAGTGTCCTTTGACATTGACTGTTCTACATGTACATGTATGAAAACCAATTTAGCTGTAGTGTTCTATATTCATGTGTACCACCTTTACCGTTTTGTGTGTCAGTTTTATTAGTTGAAAAATATAATTTGTTCTTATCATTCAACGAGCATGGTTACATTTTAAGGCAACAGAGAATGTATTGTCTCTCTTCTGAGAGCACACACCTGAAATGTTTGTTATTCCGAGAGTAATTTTTGTCATTCGTGGGTAGTGATGGTAGTGGTTGTTTAATATTGTGTAAACGATGAAGATAGTCACTATTATCATTAGGGGATCAAACCAGTGTTCAGAATAAAGAAGAAGTCGATTGGGTGGGCTTTGCCATGGGCACGGCGGCTCGTCCTTTCCTCAACATTTTGATGCCATAAAACCCGGGAGGAAGGACCGTCCGAGGTGAGATGGGGCGGACTTCACGAATTTCGACCGCCGCCGTAGCCTCGAGGGCTTTTGGGAAGCCGCCGTGGGTAAAGCTGATGTGCGAGGCCTAACCTCCGCCGAGACCTGGGAGCGCGACTCCGGTTGCAACTGAGACTGAGACTGACGTGAGTACAGGCATCGTCTGGAGGTTCGCGAGACGGGAGCCCTTATGTCTACTTTGGCTCTGTCCTGACTCGCCCTTCACGACGACGGCCTGATAAACGCAAGGTAGGACAGTCCATGGAGGTCGACTACGTACATCTTGAAGGTGCATCAACGTGAGTGCAGGCATCGTCTGGAGGCTCGCAAGGCGGGAGTCCTCACGTCTACTTCGGTTCCATCCCGACTCTCCCTTCATGACGACGGCTCGATATTCGCAATGTCATGAAGAACGACAGCCCGACAACTTACAGATATTCGTTGTGCGAACCTTCTGCGATGGATGCCGTGTTGACTACCACTTCGCCTCGTGACACGGCCGGCCTGTGATATCTCGTGTTTCCCACACTGGACCGGATCATGGAGGTCCTTTACGAAAGGCGGAGTCAAACACGCAAGGCCGCCACGCAGGTGATCGCAGATATCAGCCACCTTTGGCATATGAACCACCCATCAATATGCGAGTTGAAAAAGTTTCACCGAATTTTGACTGAACAGTACGAGCTTCTCAGAGAAATCGATGAGATCGCAAACACAGTTGACATCGATCATTTGGAAGCGGAAATGGAAGAAGCCGAAGTTTATGGAGGCCAGATTATTCTAGCGAGGGGGAGAGCGAAGTATCAGATTGAAGATGCACAAAAGCTCGGCAAGGTCACTGTGGAAGCGATAAAACAACGGATGAGAGCAGAAGCAGAAAGGAAAATACTCTCTTCGTCTCCGTTACCACCATCTAGCCATTACGTGCCAAATAGCAATCTTGTCGCACAGAAGCTAGATGAGTCAGCCTCAGGACAAAAGGGGGAATATAACAGCAGCATACAAACCAGGGTTCCCACAACAGAAAAGGCAAACCAAGAACCCAACACCGAAAAACAACCTCCAAGTCTGAAGACACCTTCCACGACTTCAGAATTCACACCAACGGACTGTACCCACGAAGGTAATGACAGACTATCTACAACAACTCAGCTGATCATGGTGAAAGACATTTCTTTGATAGGAAACTGGGAAGCCTTTAAAGATCACAAAGGTAAACCGCCAGGTCTTAACGGTGAATGCACGCCGAAGACGACAACTCCAGACCAAATGATGTCACCACCAATATGCTTAGAAGCGCCTGGCGGAAGCAAGACAAAACCACTTCTTAAAGCGAGTGGAAACAGAATGAATACTGCGAGGACAGATGCAAGTTCCTTGTACTGCGTTTAAATTCTCCTCTTTTAGGAAACTACAAACGTCAAGGTTGAGGGCAATGCAGAAAACCCATCTTATTTCAGCAAAGAATGCCTAAATAGCATCACAGCCACGTATAACAACAGCAGGCCAGAACAGAAAGAGGCGGCTGGTGCTTCTGAGATAAACAAAGGCAAGACGAGAAAATCAAGAAAACTGTCCAAAGCGAGCTACAGTAAAACATAGTAGAAAAGACTGCACCATCGTTGTTCATGTGAACCTAAAGTGTTCATCGAAAGTCCATCATGAGGAACACGTTCAAAAGCACGCATTTGGAACAAGCATCGGAAACACTGCTAGAAGAGCCGGCACAGGATAAAACTTGGATTGTCACATATGGACTAACTGTGAACTCGATTAACTACTCACTAGTATTGTGTACTAAGAACCTGTGTGTTTTTAGTGTTCTTCGTAGTCATGCGTCATTATGGGGGCGTGGAGGATGTTAAATATTGTGTGAACGACGAAGATAGTCACTATCATCATTAGGGGATCAGACCGGTGTTCAGAATAGAGAAGAGGTCGATTGGGTGGGCTTTGCCATGGGAACGGGGGCTCGTTCTTTCCTCAGCAGTGGTTAGAAGGAGAAGAAGAACGCGCCTAATTTCTACAGCCCTGTTGGGAGCACGTCACAGCGCCTGTGTCATTGGCAGCAGAGTGCATTGAAGCTTTTTGGACGTTTGTTGAGCTGTATATAGTATTGAAAACTGTTTTTAAATACTTGTTATATTATTGCCTAGATTATGCAGCTTGAGTTATTGGTTCTTGTTCATCATGTACAGTAATGTGTATTTCTACGTATACTCGACCCAGCTGTGTACTTTCACCTGCTTATTTTTCGCTATACTGATTTGTGCATCTTTAATGCACAGCTGATTTGCTGTGAGAAAGAAATGATGCACTGTGCATTTGCTACAGGCTTGTATAAGTTAACTGCTCGAATTCTGTAGTTCTGTAATGCCAACGCTGTAGCACTCGACTTGAACAACAATGGAACATGTAAAGTTACAATACTTCGTGCTTCCTTTAAAGAAACACCAAAGTGAAAAAGCAAGTCAGGTTACACTGATCCATTATAGCTTGAAAACTTTTTTATTACTTTCACCATTATAGGCTTTGTAATAGAATAGAATGGTCCCAATCCATTTCGTGTCAATTTTTTTTTATAAATTCATTGATTTTGAAGTTTTTTGTTTTCATATTTCGGCAACATTGCCACAACGAAACTTTCTGGAACATAAGGTGCTATGTCTCTGACTTTCTCATCTGACAGCAAATTTCGTTTTTGCCGATTTATAACGGGTACACCGTAGTAGACGCCTTCAAAATATGAAAAATATGACGTCGCGACTCTGTGCAAAAACTTCAAGGTGGCATTGCCATCAGTAACTGTGTGTGGTGCGTCTTCTCATGTGCCAGGCATTTTCTCGTGGTACGTGTTGCGATTTTGGTATTGTAAAACAGCGATTTACCTTCGCACAAAAAGTTGCTTTTCTCTTCAGCGTCCCTTTAAGGAAGGCACTGGTTTGTAATATTTCAATCAAATGAAATTTTATTTTCGCTTCAGACAATACAGCGCATTGTCACTGCGAAAATAGGGGACCAGAGATAAAGCTGCGCTTGCGCAGCTTGACTGAGCTCTGGTCACCCGTACAGCAGTAGTGACAGGGCAAAACATTTCCAGGCGCACAGCACACAATGGTTGACAAACACATACCCTGCAATCGTTTCTGCGCTGTTTCGTAATGAGCATTTGAACTTGCCCTCGCAGGAATCCTGCTCATCGCCAACAGCGATGACATCGCTTTGCAAGCGGCGACGGGACTTGCCGAAGTGCTAGTGGCCAAGGCAGCGCCGACCAAGATTGGCCGGCCGCTCGAGCGTCGGTTGGCACCACGTCCTCCCGGCATGACGGTGTCCGAGAAGCAGAAGACAGAGCAGGTGTACACCTGCAAACTGTGTTCCTTCTCCTCGATTTATGCCAACAGCCTGATGGACCACGTTCGCACTCACAGTGGGAAGAAGGGGCTGCTGTGCCTAGTGTGCCAGCGCACTTTTCCGGACACATACCGCCTGAAACGGCACATCTTGAGCCACACCGGAGAGAAAAAGTACAAGTGCAACTTGTGCCCTTACGCGACGGTCTCGTCCACCTTCTTGGAACGCCACGTGCGCACGCACACGGGCGAGAAAAACTTTGCTTGCGGCGTGTGCGATTACGTGTGTGCAAGGATGGACACTCTGAAGAGGCACGTCAACAAGGTGCACTCTGGTAATAAACCCATGAAAAGGATCATAATATGATGTAATTTGTAGACTCAGTGACGTTGACGCCGGTCATGATGAGCTTTTACCCCGTACCTTCTGGCAATGAGTGTAGTTACCAGATTTTGTACCAGTACAGAATTCGTCATGAACAAAGATCGGTTGCACATAGAAGCGACGATGGCTATACTCGTGATAGTTGCATTTCTTGACGTTAGTTGACCACACTTGTTCATGTTCTGCTGTTTGTGCCTCGGTTTTCATTTTATTGTTATCTTTCATTGTATTGCCATGTGTGAAGCCATTATTAAGCTGGTTTTTTATGCAATTAGTCAAATAAAGGAACCCCTTTGAATTGAAAAAAATTGTACCATTTTCTATTGAAAAAAAAAAGCCTCTACAAATTGAATGGGAAATTAGGTACAGCTTTTTTTTATCCTTGTAGGTAAAAGCTTAGAGCAGGGTGCTTCAGTGCTGCTTTCAGGAAGTCATTGAGATAATCTCAATGCACATATGTCATTATCACTGCCATGTTAGTTCTGAGAAGTGCTGTTCCAACTCATTTAGTCTGGCTCGAAATGGTAAAATATAAACTATATTAAAGTAAACTCTCATCAAATTGAACCTGAAGGGACCAGGAAAGTATCTTCTATTTAACAGGAGTTCTGTTTACTGGGAGATGAACGAGGGTGTAGAGTAAAAGCACAAAACCAATCACAATAGAGCCAGTCATTCTATTCAAGCAGCAGTTCCATTCAGCAGATTTATGTTTACTGAGTGTCTACTGTGTAAGCCACAGAAGTCTGACTCAGCACAGCCATCAAAGCAGGCCTTATGCTTTGCTAAAAGCCCCAATAGCGCTTTGGACTGTGCGCATGTTCAATCAGAATCAATACTTCTCAGAAAAAGGAAGACTTGAACATGAAGGTGCTACTGGTGATGAAAACGGACAAAGTGCTGCAATAGATATCAGTGGAGGGGCGGCTATTGTCGCCACAGTCTTTTGCTTGGGCAAGAATATAAATGCCAGCAAGTATACAAAAGTTGCTGTGATACAATGCTGGCCGGCCTAATTTAATTTCTCAAGCAGTTTCAGAGTTTGGCCCTCATTATGGGGTTCATGTTGAACAAAGTGCAGAAAAGAAGAAAAAAAAGAAGGCCTTACCCATTTCGAAAACAATGGCTAGTCACATCGTAGTCTTCTTTTTTTCTTTGCACCATTTCTAGAAATATTATCGTATAGCTCTTGCTTCAATTTTTAACTCTATCTTGATGAAGCATTTTGTTTGTATACCCACTTGATTGTTTATATTAGTGCTTTCCCAGAAATTTATCACTCTGTACACTTTGATCTTTTCTGTTTTTGAAATTTCCGGAAGGTATTCGAAAAATTTTTACCTGAGCTCTAACCATCTCAAGGCAGATAGAGCTTTTTTGTTGTTTATTCACTTGTGTTATTATCAGGGCATTGGCATTGTTACTTTAGTTCATCTTGGTGTGATGTTATGATGGGCTTCGTGATTTGCAGATTTGGGCCATTGATTAACATTCGCAACGTATAAAATTGTACAGCGCAGACTACAGGACGAAACACTTGAAGCACACACAAACACCATCGACTATCAACTGAAGTTTGTTGCACTTATTTATTTATTTATTTTACATACTGCAGCCCAGTACAAGAGCTATTGCAGGGGTGATTTATACAGTATGGAAAAAAAATCGCAACAGAAACGATATATGAGAAGTAAAAACAGAACAACGAAAAATACATTTATACCAATAAAGAATTGAGCTTTTGTTATATAATGATTTTCAACAAGAGTAGTCCCATAATCATTCAGGAGGAGTGATCAAATGTGACCAGGTAAAGAATTCCATAATTCTATTGTTTGGGGAAAGAAACTATACCTAAGCGTATCTGTGCAACAAAAATCCGTCATGCGAAAAAAGAATTTTTCAACGATCTGCCTTCTCGATTCAAAACAACAAAAAAGTTGTTCTGGAATCTGGTCAAATGTAATAAAAAAGATGGAAGTGTGTATTTCTTCGCTTCAGCATGATGGTAAAGAAATGCAAAATATCTTAGATAAGGCCAGCTGTTTTAACACATTTTTTTCCTCCATATTTTCGTCGTGTTCGTTAAACAGCGTTTTGCCTACGCCTACTAACAGATGTATGACAGATATGGATGACGTAACTGTTGATGAAAACGGCATCCAGTGTCTTCTCGAACACTTAGACCCTAGCAAAGCAGGAGGGCCGGATGAATTGAGAGGCGGTTTTCTCAAAATGTGTGCACCGTTCATCGCGCCTTTCCTTAAGGTTCTATACTCGAAATCATTGAGAACGGGAAGCCTGCCCTGCGACTGGAAGGCGGCAAGCGTTGTGCCTGTGCATAAATCAGGTCCTCGTGAACTAGTCAACAATTACAGACCGATATCCCTGACAAGTATAGCCTGCAAAATATTAGAGCACGTCTTGTGCAGCAATGTAATGACACACATAACCAATCAAAATCTTCTTAATCCAAGACAGCATGGTTTTAGACGAGGACTTTTCTGTATAACTCAACAGAATTCGTTCACGAAGTTTGTAGTTCACTGGATGAATGCTCCTGTGTTGATTCAATATTTGTAGACTTCAGGAAAGCGTTCGACCTCGTAGATCACGGGCTGCTTGTATGTAAGCTATGTTGGTTCAATATCAATGAACAGGTGATAACATAGATTTGGGAATACTTGTCCTTTGCGTTCTCAGTACGTAGTGGTAAAAGGCGCAAAATCGGGTATGGCTAGCCTAACATCTGGTGTCTCTCAGGGCTCAGTGTGGGGCCCCTTGCTTTTTTTATTATTCATAAATTATCTTCCCAACATCATCGCTTCTTCCATCAGATTGTTTGCTGATGATCTAATAATATATAGGGAAGTTACAAGCGTCGATGATACCATTCTTTTACAAAATGATTCAACAAAAATGGAAAACTGGTGCCGTGATTCACATATGCAAATAAACGTGCAGAAAACTGTTCATATGCGTTTCAGAAAAAAACGTATAGCATCGACACTTTATAGTCTGTCTGGTTCTCCGTTACAAACTGTTTCAGAGTATAAGTACTTGGGCGTATTCCTCACATCATCCATGTGTTGGCACAGGCACATCGATTACGTTACTGCAAAGGCATGTAAGGTGTTGGGATTCTTGCGGCGTAACACAAAGGTGTTTCCTCAGCAGGCCCGCGATCTTCTCTACAAGAGCTATGTCAGACCAATATTAGAGTATGGGTGCACTGTGTGGGATCCTCCCACAAATGCCGATTGCGACGAGCTTGAGCGAGTTCAGAAAATGGCTGCAAGATACGTTATTGGTAGCTATGGGAGAAACCTTAGCATTACTGCTACAAAGGAAACATTAAAATGGGAGCTTCTAGAAAAAAGAAGGCAAATTTTGCACTTGAAAGCTTTTTCACAATATATATGGCCACATTGGAATAGACCGTAATCAGTATATTCTTCAACCCGATTATGTATCAAGACGAACAGATCATGAGCTCAAGGTTAGAGAATATAGCTGCAGGACTAATCTTTTTAAAGGCACTTTTTTCCCCAAAACTATTTCTGAATGGAATCGTCTGCCTGCTGGCAAGGTCAGCATAATAGATAACGATGCTTTTGCAGCCGCTCTTTGACATCTCATTCTGTCTTCAGCTGCAGTCGAATTTTATGCAGTGTTTAGTTCGTATCACATCATTTTTGTATTTTTATGTTTGTACAGTATAAATTTCATTTTTGTTTTCTCTCTTCATCTGGGTTAGCTGATATTTTTATGAAATTCATGTGTATTGACAACAATGTACGCCACTATTTCTCCTTAGTTTTTCACTACCAATGTTCTTGTAATGTATGATTTATAAATTCTCTGTGTAATCCCCCCCTACCCTGTAATGCCTAAATGGCGCTGTGAGTGCGAGTGTAAATAAATAAATAAATAAATAAATAAATAAATAAAGTGCAAGTGGTTGTAATGAAATGCAAGCCTCTTTCAATGGTTCCTGCTGTGATGGACTACGCATAAGTGCTCTGTAGGTTCTGTGCACAGCTCATGCAGTTCGTGTCTGAGGTAATTGCTTCAATCTTCAGGTGCTTTCAGCTCGGCTACCGCGCAGAGATGAACTGTGGTCCGGTGGATGTCACGTAATATAAACGCAGTAGCTGGAGGCACATAACACGTGGAATGACTTAACTATGACTTAACTTCCAAAACGATGCAACACAAGCACAGAAATGGTTCGAAAACAGCACAACACAGGCTTATAAACAAAACAGTGTCAGCCCATCAATCACAATGTCTGATGTGTGGTCGGGTGATCACAAACACGTGCATGCAAGCAAGTAGTTCGGCATAAAAGCTAATAAAGCCTACAAAGTTTCAGGTGCTTTGCAGAATTCCACTTCAGCCTGCAGCTTTGATTTATTCAGCCCTTAGAAGTGCAGCCTCGTTGTCAGGTAAAAGCTGATAACCTGCGGAGTGAGGACCTCCGTATGCTCAAAACAACCAATCTTCATCGGTGAAGCTCGATGGATCATATGGAGTATGTCAAGGACATTTTCACGGTGAACTTTCCGCGTAGAAAAATACCCTGTAAACACCTTTTCCAGACGCGTGATGAAGCGAAAGAGATTGATCGAAGGATAAACCAAGCCACCTCGGTCATTGTGTAGCACCAATGCTGAAGCTGCTAGACAACCGCCTTGCTCCGGTGTAAGCAAAAGAAGACCAAGTGGTTGTTCCGCGTGCACAATTGCACGCGGAACAACCACTTGGGAGCATGCATTTTTTGCTACATATCCACACACGTAGTAGGTCAGCCTCGAATCGCTTCGTTGTACCTGGTACCTGCGGTCTTCAACTTCGCGCTGTGATGTTGAAGCCGCAGTCAACTCTGCTTCAACGTGCGCTTTGCAAACATTGAAAAAGCCTTCCATATGTGTTTGTTCATCTAGCTCTCCGGTGTTAAGCAACAATATTATCAAGTCCTT